CATAATGGATGCCCGAGGTGTTTGTAAATCTATGAGTGCTGACCTCATCTTATGGTCAAGAGAAGGAGACCATCTGGCACGACACTTGGCTTGACCTTCTGGGACAATTCCAGGAATATAATGACTCACCAGATGCACCTGCATAGCTGGAGTCTCCAGCTGCAAACAGAGTGGAAGATGGTCATTTTCTGGATGTGGGTAGTACCTCGAAGTTCTTCACCAGGTGTGTTAGTTTTGAATTGACTAACATATAGTCAATAGTGCTTTTTCTGTACCCAGCGATAAAAGTGAATTCACCTGGATAGTCACTTGTAATGGAGCCATTTAGGATGAGTAAATTAAATTTATTTGCCAACTTGGCGAGTCGTAGTCCAGCATAGTTAGATTTTTTATCACTAGAGAGTTGCACCAACACGGTAGGAGGTAGATTGGCACAACCAAAGGGGGATGCTGATGGAATTTGGAATATAGTGCATGGTTATCAGTGCCTAGCCTAGCATTAAAGTCACCCCCGAGAAGAACCATGGCATTAGGGAATTCCAAAAGAAGATTGCCAACATAATCCTCTAGTTCCAGCCAACTTGTGGCAGTTTCAATTTTTTTCCGCTTTGGAGAAAGATAAACATTAATAACTATCAAATGCATGCTACCCATGTTCAAAAGTATCGCCATGGCCATTTGTTTAGGAGGGGAGATAGGTACAGGGGCAACTCTCAGGGCGGTGGAGATGAGAATTCCCAGACCACCTTTTAGTTGCCCCGGGCCTTTACCTTCAGTTGCTTCCAATTTATATGATTGGAACGCATTAAATAGGAGATTATCAGCTGTCCAAGTTTCCTGCAGCAGTAGAACATCCATGTCTGACAAAAACTCAAGATGGTTGAAGCCATTATTGTGATGCCAACCGGCTAAATTCCATGATATAATCTTTAAGGGGCTTTGTCTTGTACCGGTCCGCGTGCTGCTAAACCATCTGTGTTAAAGGACTTTCCCTGCCGGAGTCCTCTATCTG